AATGCCGCCTCCCTTCCATTCAGCTAAGACAAGGACTCAGCTGGCTCTGACACAGGGCTGGGCACAAGCGTGTGTCAGGGAGTCCCCAACCCCCACCTCTATCCCAAGAAGGCAAATCCGCAGGAGGTCTAGGAAATAATGAAAGGTCATAGAACCTACCCTTTAAGGCCCAGCTCTAGGACCAGGGTATTAATATACTCAGGATACAGATGCAGAAACTGAGGCTTACAGGTTCGGTACACTCTCAAGGTCATAGAGCAGGTAGCAAGGCAAAGATTCACTCAGGGCTTGGATCCTGGAGCCAGAGCACTAACCAGCAGGCAACACTCCCCTAAGCATGCCCAGTGCTAGTACTGCAGCCAGGAGGCAGCTATGCTGCTGAGTTTATGCACTCCATCACACCTCCTCTGCACCGAACCCAGCGGTTGGTAATGTTTCCCACTTTGCAGATGGGAAAACAGGGGCTCACAGAGGTTCAGGAACCTGGGCTAGAGTGCAGAGCCGCCATCACAGCTCACTGCAACTTCAAACTCCTGGGCTCATGCGATCCTTCTGCCTCAGCCTCCCAAGTAGCTGGGACTACAAGTACGTGTCACCACGCCTGGCTAGTTTTTCTATTTTTTGTAGAGACGGGGTCTCACTCTTGCTCAGGCTGTAGACTTTCAATTGTCTGTGCAAGCATGGTGTGGAAAATCCCCACGGGTGGAAGGGGTTATGCACGACCACTGATTTCCTTTTGTATCATGCTGGTCAACCAAGTGCGTGTCCTAGGAGTGCAGAGGCCAGGCTCAGGGCGGGGTCTGGTGGGGCACCTGCTACAGGGGGAAGCCAGCAGAGCCATCCCGGTGCAGAGAAGTGAGGAAGGACACCCCTTACCCACAGGCAGCCTGTGCTGCGCCTCTTTCCTCCTCTTGCTGCCAGGAAACAGGGGGGCAGCAATTAGGCTCAGTGTCTAGCTTTCCAGGAGGAGGTGCCCCAACTTTGCGGCACAGGCCACCACCCCTAGAACTGGCTGGACACCAGGCACAGGGCCACAGGCTCAGTCTTCTGACACAGGAGACCCAAGACTCATCGCAAGCCCCCCAAGAAGCCCCACAGGACCTGGAGCAAGTCACCACACCTCTCTGAGCCTCAGTTTCCCCTTCTATGAAGGGGAGAGGCTAAGGCCTCCCTTCTGGGGCCATCTGGAAGCTCTGAAGGGAAAGGGGTTGGGATTGGGAAGTTCTATCTTGTAAACTATGAAGTGCCGGGCACATCTCACATTCCTGCCTGTGCTCCTCAGGGCCAGCCCTCCTTTAATGTGAGGCCCTAGAGACCCAACACCTCAGGGCCATTGGCAGGTCCCTAGGGACAGGCTGAGGAGGGAGGGGGAAGGCTTAGCTCACCCACCCCATTGTCTTCACTGACCTTTGCTCCCAGCCTGCCAGGGTTTAGGAAAAGCGGCCTTATTAGCTGAGCCCCGAGGCTACACAGAAAAGACCTATTCAGGGCGAGCTGCTTTTTTAAAGGCCCAGACCACCCGCTCCATCCTCCCTTTTAAACCAACAAAAACACAAGCAGGAGAACAAACCCGTCTCATTTTGAGAAGCTCAAAATTTTAATCCAAACTTTAAAAAGTAAATGGAGCCCATTCACGGGCTTGCAGGGAGGTTCTGGTTTCTCTGGTTTAGCTAAGAGAGGGGAGGGGAAGACATGCCTGGGGACAGGGGGCTGCAGTGGGGCACCCGGATGGCAGAGGGGCAGGTGGAGAAACAGCTGAAAATTCTCTTGTTTGAAAATCAAACCTGACTTTCCGGTGTCTGGGGTTCACCTGCCTCCATGTGCCACACTGGATTAGAGTGAAGAGCATCCCAGTCCAGACTTCAGCCAGCCCAGACCAGACCTCTATCAGACACAGCCCAGAAGAAGGAATATTTGCATATGCATTCACAGCCCCGCCAGGCCGGCCTCAGCGGGGACTGCCCTGAATACAGATGGGCAACCTCCCACCTCAGCCACTCGAGGCCTTCCAGCCACCCAGCAGGGCTGTGGGCAGGCACCGCCAGCTCCCCAGAGAGGACTGCAGGGCCACGGTCCCCACCCCCGGCTCCTCAGCAGGTGCAGCCACACAAGGGACTCCAACACAGACATTCGGGTGAGCTGTCTAAACTGCAAATAGTTTTAAAGAGAAAACTGACATCTGTCTGGCAAGCCTCCCAGGTCTCTAACGACTGGAGAGACCCACCTACTGTGTGCAGACCCTGACTGCCCTAGAGCTTGTGTGGGCAAGGGGGCACTTTGAGTTCACCCCACCTTACATAAGAAGAGCAGATAGGGGGGTTCAGCAAAGTTTAGTAATCTGCCCACGGTAAGTGCAGGAGCTGAGATTCACACTCAAGACAGCCTGACCCCCTGGGTAATGGGGTTATCAACCATCTGCTCAGCAGTCACCGATAAGGAAGTGACACTTCCCAGTGTGGGAGAAAAAGGGCAAACCTGAGTCAGGAACCAAGAATCAGGAGTCACCACTGTCCTCTGATTAATAGTAACAGCAAAAATGACAGCAGGCCAGGGACGCAAGCCAGCCTGTGGCCTGAGCAGTAGACGACCCTGGTGGCACCACCACCCAGGACAGACACTTCCAATGTAAGCTGCCTTCCCAGGCAAGGCTAGGAAGCTCTTTGAGCCTCCACTTGCTTGACTGTAAAATGGGCACAACACTGCTTCTCCAGGATTCCTGTGAGAACGAGCTGAGACCAAGCACACAAGGCACAGCCTGGTATCTGACTCCACTTTTGCCACCACCCAGACAGAGACTCATTCTCTCTTTCAGCTCAGGCACAACCTTCACTCAACTCAAAGCTGCAGGTGCCAGTATAGAAAAGGCCGGTTTCTAAGAGGAGGGCCTTTCCTTGTTTCCGGTCATTCTATTCACATTGGTGGGAGGACATCTCAAGCCTGCACAAGATTTTGAGACAAAACAAAACAAGAACAATCCCATCTGTAACTGAAATGTGTATTATTTGTAATAATAATGCTGAATTTCCATTTCACCCAAAAGCAAAGCTTTGCTGTCACAAAATTTGCTGCAGTCCTGTTCTAAGCAAACTTGGGACTTGCGGGAGCATGGATTCTGCAGGAAACCCTACACCTCAACCCCCACTCCCACTCCACCGAGTAGGGTGGAAAACCTCCAGGTCCAGCTCATGCTCCCTCCTCATTATTCACTGTTGGGACAGAAACACTGGGCCAGTCTGGGGCCACATCTCCTTGTCCAAAACATGACAGAACCTTTCCTGCAGATATGCTACAACGCTCCAGCTCTCCAGTGTCCCGCAGAGAACCACTCTTGCCAAGTGTCACTGATGACGCAGCTGAAAACCAGAAACATTTCATTTCCCAGCCACAGGACTGCAGCAATCCACTTCTTAGCTTTGCACTTGGGGAAACTGAGGCCCAGAAAACTGACCCTCCAAAAGCCCCCAGGAAGGTGAGGCCAAAGAGGCTGAGGTGCTCTAAACAGCAGGGTGCATCTCCAACAAATTAAACCACCTGACTTAGCTACTCCCACTGGCCTTAAGGAGCCTGTGGTGGGAGGTGCGGTAGATACAGAGTTACAAAGGGAAACCCGAGTTGCAGTTGTAGGTTGCTAATCAGTAACAAAATATCCCTCTAAACCCAGTCCTGCCCTGAACTCAGAGGCCAGGATGGCAAATAAAGGAAAAACTTGCTGCGCTGCCACCCCTCGCCGCCATGGTATAGTTCCCACTCCAGCCCCCACTCCAACAGGCCTGCAGAGGTCACTTGGCCACCAAACCAAAGAGAAAGCGTCCCTCCCCGGCTCCTGCTGTCACTCTGGGGAAGAGCAGTTATTTAAGGCCTGGATACATTTTCTCTGCATTAGGAAAGGCTTTAAAGGGAACCAGAAAGGGCTGTTTATCCTCCACCTTCAGGCAAATAGTCCAGTCAGTCGAAATTGCCACCAGAACTGGGAGCCAAGCCACCAAAAATGTGGAAGAACAGGGAGGCGCGCATCTGCCAGGCAGGAGCGGACTCATCAGAGGGCTGGGACAGGTAGCAGGCTGCTGGGCCCCGCAGATCCCAGCTGGGCACACTCACCCAAAGGCACAGGCTCAGCAGTAACACAGGTGTGGAAGACAGTTTTCCTGAGGCCAAAGGTTCTCCCACCCACGCCCGCCTCGGATGACCAGGGCACTTCCTGTAAGGCGATCAGCAGTTTCCAAATCCCTTCAGAGGCTTTAACTCCACCTCAAACGCATGAAGCGGTTGTCATCATCTCCATTTTACAGACAAGGAAACTGAGGCACAGAGAAGGGAAAAGCCAGGCTCCATTCCACCCACATGTCCCTTGGGAAAGTATTAGAGCCTCAGCTGAGAAAGGTAACCCGACCAGAAGTGCAGAACTTATAGCCAACCAGGAAGCGCTGAGCCGGGCGTCCTCTGGCCCAGCTGCCTCAGGAACTGGCTGCTGGGCTCCTTCCCAATCCCCAAGGCCACAGGGAGAAGCAGGGGCGGAATTCCAGCCATCGCACACACGTGGAGGCTGCCTGGGTTTGGGGGACGCCTGTTGCTCTCTCCTGGAAGCAACAGGGGAAATTCTCTTGGGCTCAAAGGGCCTTTCATTTTTTTCCGTTTAGAACTTCCCGCTGCCAGGCATAGATTTCCAGGCTGGGACGAGGCACCCCCAGCCAGCCCCGCAGTGCCAGATGCTAATACTGACAACTGGGCAAGCGACAAACTTTTCAGGGGCCGGCCGCCTGCGGATGCCGAGCTGGACAGGGTCAGGCACTATCACTTGACAGGGTTGCCACCACCCAAAACCCCACTGCGGGTGGGCGCGAGATCCCCCGGCCCAGGATCCGAGGTCAGCTGGAGGAGGGGTTTGGAGAGGCGGCCGCCCCAGGCAGGAGAAGGGTGGCCAGGGAGTGCCTCCTCCAACCAGCCGAAGTTAGGGGCTTCCACCCAGCAGACCCGCGCTGCCCGGCCCGTGCAGTCCTTACCGTGCAGGCCGTTGGGGATGCTGCGGTGGTGCGGTGGCGCCGACAGGTCGTCCAGGGACCGGTGCGTGGCTCCGGCCTTGCCGTCGGGGGCCTTGTGCGGCCCGGGGGGCAGCAGCGGGGGCGGGACGTGGTGGTGGTGGTCGGGGCTGCCGCCGCTGCCCGCGCTCGACGTGCTGCTGCCGTCGCCCACGTCGCGGGCCCCCGCGCCCGCCGCGCCCCCCGCCAGCGGCCCGCTCAGGCTGGCCTGGCTGTCGATGGAGCTGCGGGAGCCCGCGCCGCCGCCGCCGCTGCCCGCGCCCCCCGCCGCCGCCAGCGCCGTGCGCTCCTCGTCCAGCAGCAGCACCAGCTCCTTGAGCTCCAGGTTCTCGCGCATCAGGGCCTCCTGGCGCGCCTCGAGCTCACGCAGCTTCTGCTGCGAGCGGGCCACCTCGTGCCACACGGCGCCGGCCGCGTGGCGCCCGAAGCGCTGCCACTCGCGCGCCAGCTTGCGCCCCTTCTGCCGGTCGTCGTCGAGGAAGCAGCAGAGCTCGCGCAGCTCCTGGTTGTCGTCCTGCAGCCGCTGGTTCACGTCCTTGAGCCCGCGGATCTCCAGCAGGTGCTGCTGCAGCCGCCGGTTCACGTCGCGCATCAGGCCGCCGTGCTCCAGCATGAGGCCCACCTTCTCGCCCTCGGCGCGCCGCAGCCGCCGTGCCAGCTCCTCCTTGCTCCAGCGCAGCAGCTCCTCGTCCGGCACCTGGCTCAGCTCCTCCGACGCCGCCGCCGCCGCAGCCGCCGCCGCGGGCTTCGCCATGGCGGGGCCGTCACCGCGGCATCGCCCTCGCCCTCGCCCGGCCCGCGCTCCCCGCGCGGGGGCTACGCTGGGCCGGTCCGCGCGGGCGGGGAGAGGCCGGGGGCGCGTGCGGCCCGCCCCGCGCCGCCTCGCGCCTCGCGCAGCGCCCGCCCGGGCTTCCCCGGAGCTCGCGCGCCTCGGGGCTCAGCGAGCGGAGACTGCTGCCGTGTCGGGGCCGCGCTGCCAGGCGCTCTCGGGCTCCGGCGAGGCAGGCGGAGGCCGGCCCCCGGCTCAGCTCCCGGAGCCCCACCGCCCCGCCCACCCCGGGCGGGGAGAGGGC